GGTAAGCCCCATCTTGCCAGCAGCAGACCCCTTGTGTCTGTGGATGGGTTTCCCAGGCCTTGCCCATGTGGAACCAGGGTAAAAAGGGAGTTTTGGGTTTGAGCTCAAGGGCTGCTTTGGAAAGAAGGTGAAGTTGAGTACCTCTAAATTTTAATTTTAAAGGGGAGTGAGAGAAATGTGTGTATGTCTCTGTGTGTGAATGAGAAGACTCTTTTCCCAATCACAGTTGGATTTTGCTCCCTCTGGTCTTTCCTAACCACCGAAAAGATCTATTCAAGTGGCAGACCCTGGAAAGCATGGGGATTTGGCCAGAGCGCAGGACCTTTTGTTAGGGAAAAGGGAGAGGCTGTGTGAAAATGAAATGGAATGAGTGAACGAAAGAATTGGATTTGGGCAACCAGCTAGTAAGGCCCTGTAAGCAAAGCCCCAAGTTAGGAAATTAAGCCCCGGGCTAGGAGCGTCCCTTACCTCTGGAAAGCAAGCAGAGGTCCTCCTGGACATTTGAAGTCCGCAAACAGTGGTGGTGAAAAGTGAAGGTAAAACCGGTAAGAGAGCATCCCGTACCTTCTGCAGGGGAGCAGAAGAGTCCTCAACAGATCCCTTTTTGGTCTGAAACCATGGTGGTAGATCCCTAAAGGAGCGTCCAGTACTCTGCGAGGGATCCAGAGTCCTCTATGAGTCCCTTTTTGATCCAAAACCATGGTAGTAGGCGGAAGTCTCACTAGGAGGCTTCAGTGCGCCGGACCCAATAAAACCAAAGTGAACCTCTGCATCAGGAATAAGGGAATCATGGGGTGTTCTAGTTCAAGGGTCAAGATAGGCTCCCCAGTAAAAGCTTGCTTGAGGCCTGGGACAGGAATCAGCTACCCGTTCAGGCAGGTATGAAAAAGAGATAGGTAGAGGCTTAAATTAAGCCACCAAAAGTAAAATATCCTCACTCTGTTTGTCTGGCCAACAAACAAGAGTGAAGAAAAAAAAAATTTTCCCCTTTCTCTCTCTGTACTCTTAAGAACAGCCCAAAGTTACCAGGAGGGAATGTTTTAAGTTCATCTGCTGGAAAAGTTTCACTCTTGCATTTATTGTATGTGTTGTAAATGGATTTTATCTGTCTATCCTTTTCCTGAAACATGCCCAGCATTTTTCAAATTGCAACTCTTTAGTCATTAATATGTTACAAATGTTCACTTCAGAAGTAAGACCTTTCATTTTGTTGTTCTATTACCAGAATCCAGCCTTTCTTCTGTCCTCATCTGTGATCTCCTAATTTTGTCTGCCTATGTTTCTTTAACCACTGCAGTATTAGTGCCTTTTCAAACTCTGTCTGCAAGCTACCCCCCCCCCCAATTCTACTTCTCCTTTTCTTATCCTCTGTTCTCCATGCCTTTGTCTGCCTCTCCTGGGAGAGTCCACCCAGAAAGGGGGGAGGAGATCTTGTTCTCATGTCCTTCAGCCCTGCATAGATAACTCAGCAACTTTTTGGAAGCAGAGCACACTGACCCAGATGCTGCCTCCATCCATTTGAGCCATGGAATTGGGTTTTGAATCCAGCCATCCACTAAAAAGCCACCGTGCAACCTGAGTGGAACATCTTCTCAAGTCCTACCATTCCCCCAGATGCCTGTGAAAGCTGCAGAGGAAAGAAGGAGTCCTGGAGCCATTGGTCCCCACGTGAAGCCTCAGAACAAAACTAGGAAGACTATGGGGGGAGGGTGGAAACTCACTGTAAGATTTTCTTTCTTGCCCCATTTGTACTGTAATAAGCCAGTTGAATGTATTTATGGAGAGATGGCATTTGGAAATAGTTGGCACAGCAATTACTGAACATCTTGGACTTCTATCTGGTGGAAGGGAAAATTTATCCAGAATGTTTGTATTGCCTGTTTTGTGTTAGTAGCTGCGCACACACACAAACACACACACACACACACACACACCATTCATAATCACACTGAGTCTATCTCTTTCACCTACCTTCAGTAAAAATCCAGCATGATTCTTGCTCTGTGTCATTAAAACTTTGCATGTACAACTTCCTGCAAATTCCAAGGGGGAGGGAACCAGGCCCCCTTGGGTGATTTGCAATTCATATGCCCTAACTAGGGAAGTAGTAGGAAAGAGATCTCCAAACCTAAGCCCTGAATATCTTGTACTAGTGGACTCAGATTGGGAATCTTAGGGCTCACTATGTGCAATTTAAGAAAATTTAATAGCCTTGCTTGCATACTGGCTAACCTCAATTGGCCATTACAAACCTGGATGCACTGAACTAAGAACTAAGGCAGGAAACAACCCTTGAAAATGGGCAGCCAGTGGTTATGTACTGAAGCAAACCATGGCTGTGAAGAATTTTGGGAGGAATGTGCAAACCTGACTGGAAACTCAAAGTGACATCCAACATTTGAAAATGATTGGCACAAAATATTGGACATTATAAATTTATTTTCCATCTAACAGAACTTTTGCCCTGACTTTTAGACCTTTATGGGTTGGAAGCTCTCCTTTTGGGAGTCACTACAGGGATCTTTTTCTGCTGCTTCCATTTTTTTTTTTTTTTTTGGCCTAACAGTTTAAAGCTTGTTTACCAAGTCTCCCTGATCAGATCAATTTTATTCTTGTGCCAGTAAAAGTGTGTCACCTACACTATTATGGCACAAAGGGGGGATTTGTGGTAAGTCAGCCACACACACACCCCCGAGAAAGAAATATTTCTTGGAAATATTTAAAAAGCAGAACATATTTCCCTAAAGGATTTTAAAAGCAGAAACCAACCCCGCCCCCAAGTCTCTCTGTCCCAAACAGAAACCAAGTTTGCAGAACTGCAAATGTGATAATCTTGTCAGAAAGACTGGAGTCAGGAAACTGGGATTACGAAGAAAGATCCCTAGAATCAGCAACCCCTCACACCAAAAATCTAAGAGTCATCAGCCACTGCCACAGGGAAGTAGGATATGACCTTTGGGACATAATAGGATTAACCCACCACCATCAGAATACCAGAAAGGCACACTCAGACTGAGGTCAAAGTTCATGCCAAGGAACAACTCCAAACAAAAAGCTCAAGAAGGTATAAAAACCCACTCCCTACTTGCGCTCACTCCTCTTTTCTTCCAGAGCCATCTTTCTGTCTGGCTCACCTCTTCAATAAACTGCAACCTTCTTTCTAAAGCAGTCACCATGTTGTTTATTCCCGGCTTGGACTGAACCATGATGAAGACTTTTCCTTCCACACCACCAATACCAAAAGGGCATACTCAGACTCAGGTCAAAGTATATGACACAGGAAATACAAAACATCAAACAGGAACCAACCTCGAGAGCCTCAGAAGGTATAAAAACCCACCACACGCTGCTACATGTGGTCAGTTTTTCCAGAGCCATCTTTCTGTCTGGCTCTCCTCTTCAATAAACTACAAACTTCTTTCTAAAGCAGTCTCCATTTTGATTATTCCTGACTGGACCCTGGTGAAGATTTTTCCTTCAACAATATAAATACTATTGCTGTCACTCTAGAAAATGAATTGTGTATCTGTGAGTGTGTACTGTGTGCTTGAATCACCAATATAAAAGTAGACCCAGTCTACCAGGTGAATTGTTGATTCTATTTCTCTTCTGCTAGGTGTTGTTACAAGGAAGTAGGTAAACCCTACTAGACTATGTATGTAGTATAACTCTGTTTTTAAGTTAACGAAATGTAGGACTTGTAAACCTGAAATTTTATACTGCCTTGTTTTAAGTGGGTCCCTGTTTTCATTCACCTAAAACCAGTAACATTACACATAGTCTAATGCAAAAACAACAACAGGCTTGCGCTGAGACTTAAGCTATTGCTTGGGTCTGAACACGCACTTAATTCAAGAGTTTGTGAATAGCCTTAAAAGAATCCTTTTCCACAAACTCCTGGATTCCCCCTTCCCATGAGAGTTCTCTGCTTGAAAAAGCAGGGGAGAGGTGAACCCTTTTCATGACTGGTAAATAAAGGGATAATAAAACCTATGCAATCCATTAGCATTCAGCTGGAAATCTGACATGGGCCTGACCAACCCACTTCTATCCAGTTTCCACAAGTAAACTGGCTCAAGGACAGTTTCAAACTATGGTAAATGCAAGCTATGAGTTCTGGAAACCAAGCTGAAAACCTAGGCATATTTATTTGGGATTAGGAAGCAATGCCTGAAAAAATATTCGGATGAGTAATACTGCATGGACAAAAAAGAGAGCTTGCACACACCCTATTCACAGCCTGTAGATCTCCAAGAGTTGCGACTTATAGTTTCCATATCTGCAGCCAGCATGGCCAGTTCCTTATTGACTACCAGCTTTTGAGCTACAAACATCCTGCACTCTGGCATTTTCTAGCCCAGATCTGGCAGCCCCAGGCTCCACTTCTTAGGCAGACTTTATTTGATCTTTGTTACTTTTTCGTATCACTCTTTTTCCCAGAAAAGAGAATTAAAAAAAAGTTTACTCAAATGCTCAAAAACATAAAACAAATTGAATAATAAAACAGATTTTCTTAAAAAGAAAAAGAGAAGCAGCAAACTAAAAGTAAACTAAAGTAAAAGGCGATTTGGCCACGTGGTCCGATAAATGCTTGGTTAAAATAGAGCTGTTTTCAAACTGTCAGACTCTGTAATCCCAACATCTGGGAGGTCACGGAGGCTTTCAGCTTAAAATTTTAACAAATCTCACAGCAGCATCCTCGTAATTTCAGCGGTCAGTGAACCACTGGCTGTGCGGGAGAAAACGCCGCGCGGGGAGGGCGGATAAGTCCACTCGCATTTGCCCGGCCTGCGAAAGGGCTTCTTCCTCCCTCGCCCGCTTCTTTTTCACCCTTTTTGCTCACTGCTGTAATCTAGGGGCCGCGCGCAGACCTGGGGAAACTGTGCCACGTCCCCGCGCGGGAGGAATGAGGGAGGAAGCGGCCAATTCCAAGCAGAAGAAGCGAAAAAATTGAGCGCGACTGCGAGCGACAGAGACGAGAAATTCCGCGGGTGACTTACCGGGCTTCTTGCCCCACCATTCTGCCCACTGCACGGTGAGATCGCTGTCAGCTCGGATCCAGCGTATTAACTGCAAGATTAGGTAGGCTATGAAGCTGCCCACCACAACGTACTGAGCGTGGAGCTCCATGGCGTGCAGAGGAGGCGAGAGCGCGGCCGGAGTGAGACCGAGAGTTCCTTCTTATTAGCGGTGGGCTGAGCTTTTTCTTTTCGCCCGCTGTCCCGAGCAGGGAGCGGCCGCTGGCTGCAGGCGGGCCCCTTGCCCGGGGTAGAATGGCTTTTGCGGGGGGGTGGAGTTTGTTCTCCCCGCCTCCCCTCAGACATTTATCCGATCTCCACCACTTTATTTGCAAGGAAGATTTTGCTCACAATTTCTGTTTTGCAAAAGGGTCGGGTAGCCGGCTTGGGCTCTGGGGGCAGAGGAGCTCAGGGTGGAACGTTTCTGGCAATGGAGACGGATTGCTTGCCCGCTCGAAATAGCAGCCAGATCTATAAACAACAGCCGGTAGATCTTCTTGTGAAAACGTGGGAATGAAAGCTGCCAAGTTAGAGGAGGTGACAGGCTTTTGTGCCTAGGAGCAATGGTGAGATGAGAATAAGATCCAGGAGCCAAATTACGGTGTGAGAGAATGGAATGGTCTGTCCCTGTGGCAGGGACACGGCTAAATTAAAAAAGGGTGGATGTGAGCATTAATTAAATATCACCTTGCCCTCCTCTTTTGCCTTTAGCTCCCCCTTAAATGGAACAGTCTCCGTCACATTATAAACCACCTGCTCTGAAAAATGCTATCTTCTGTAGATCAGCTTCTGTTACATGCCTGGGGACAGAATGATGAATGATAAACAGAGTTGTCAATTTTACTGCTACATTTGCCCTCTTACAATTTTTTCATCCCCTTTCTTTTTTCCTTTTCTTTCCCAACTTCCCTCTTCTCCTGGCCTTAGTTTTTTTTTTCCTCAGAAAAAAAAAAATACTTTGTCCTATTTCTATTTCTTTTGTGGATTTTTCCATTCCTGGAACTCTTTTTTATCTTTCCTGTATGTCAACAGTTACAAAAAGGCCTCTATTTCTCCCAATACCTACTTTTAATTGGTATTTAGTGGATATTGGTAGTCCTCGACTTAAGACCACAACTGAAGCCCAAAATTTCTGTTGTTAAGCAAGACAGTTGTTAAGTGAGTTCTGCCACATTTTATGACCTTTCCTGCCACAGCTGTTAAGTGAATCACTGGAGTTGTTTAGTAACATGGTCGTTAAGTGAATTTGGCTTCCCCATTGATTTTGCTTGTCAGATGCTCCAGGACACTGCAACCGTCATAAATGTGAGTCAATTGCCAAACATCTGAATTTAGATCACATGACTATGGGGAATGCTGCAATGGTCATAAGTGTGAAAAATGATCATAAGTCACTTTTTTCAGTGCTGTTGTAACTTCAAACAGTTACTAAACAAACTATTGTTAAGTCAAGGACTGCCTATAAACCCACGAGAGGGACAATCACATGTCTGAAGCAGAACTTGCACTTACTCTAATATTACATATTTGTTCACAAGTTTGCAGTCTAATAAAACCCTAATATAGATTCCACTCCTAAATATTATATGCAAATCAACTTATGATGGTTGCATACAATGTTCTTCCCAATGACTTATAAATACAAAGTTCTGATGTCATGATCAAAGTGCTCTGTAACCAGGCTGCATTTATGTTGCAACATCCCATGATCACATGACTGTAACTGATGAGGGTTTTTTTTTTTTTTTTTGCTGAAACGAATTTATTTAGAGTTCCTGGCAAAAAATGCCCAACAATAATGATTGCAATGACCATGTTGTTTCTTTTGTTCACTTTGATCTAATAAAATAACAAATATTACAATGTCAAACTTAACTTGGCTGATTATGAGAAGAGTTAAATTAAGTCAGTACTGGCTGGTACCTGAGAAGCCCCCCCCAGACATCACTGTAAAGAAAAAACAAAACCCCTAACCATCTTGGAAGAAAGCAGTAAGTTCTGTAGTATTGCTAATAAAACTACTGGATTCAGTTGACTCAATTCTGAGTAGATACACACTGTAAATTATGTTATTTTCCCCCCCAGACTTGTGACTTACTGTAGAAGATCACCTGCATAGATGATAAGTACAGGAAAAGTTGTCAAAAGCAAATTAATTTCCACTTATTGATTCTTGTTCTTTCCTTGGGAGCTTCGGAAAATCATTCTACATCATTTTTCATATTACAGCCCTTCAAATATGTAAAGATCACTGTCATGTCTCCCCTCAGCCTTCTCTTTAGACCAGGGGTGTCAAACTGCCGGATGCGTCATCCGGAAGCCACGCCCACCCCATTGCCGGCAATGGCAAAACTGTCCCAATTCATTGCGCGATGTCACGTTTGACATGTCTGCTTTAGACTAAACATATCCAGTTTGTTCATCCATTCTTCTTAGCCTCCAAACTTCTCGCCCTCTTTGTTGCTTTCTCTGCACTCCTTCCAGTTCCTCAGCATCCTCCTTGTATTGTGGGGACCAGAATTGGCTATAGTGTTCCAGAAGTGGTCTGACCAATGCAGCACAGATCAGATTCATTTCATATGATCTCAACACTATTATCTCTGTTGATACAATCCAAGACTACACAAGCTTTTTAGCAGCTGCAGTATATAGCTGGATCATATATCATCTCTGGTCTATTAGGATGCCCAGATTCTTTTCATAAGTGCTCACAAGTATTACTGAGCCAGGCACCACCTATATTTTTCCTACCTCAGAATTTTACATTTCTTGCCACTGAACTATATTTTGTGGGCTAGGATTCAGTGTTCAAGCCTATGAAGATCTTTCAAACATTGAGACTGTCTTCTGAAGTGTTACTTCCACAGTTCCAGCTTTATGTTGTGTGCAAACCTATTGAGCATCTCTTCTATCCCTTCCTCTAAATCATTTATGAAAACGTTGAAGAGCATTAGGCCCACAACAGAACACTCGCATATCCTTCTAGATATCTCCCTCTGTTGTTTCTTTGGTTCCTGGCCTTATCATCCCATGGTGCTCTGCCAATGAGCCATGGTGGCACAGTGGTTAGAATGCAGTATTGCAGGCTAATTCTGCCCACTGCCAGCAATTTGATCCTGACTGGCTCAAGCCTTCCATCCTTCCAAGGTCAGTAAAATGAGGACCCACATTGTTGGGGGCAATATGCTGACTCTGTAGAGAGGACTGTAAGGCACTATGAAGCGGTATAGAAGTCTAAGTGCTATTGCTATAACAGGCTTACTGTTCAGCCATACTTACTGTTTTTAAACGTTTTAAAGAACACATGCAGTACCTGGCTAGATCAGATCTCTGGCCAATCTAGCCCAGGAGTCTGTTCTGAGTCAACCAACAGCACAAGGAGACCCACTAGTTACTCAACAGGTAGCCTTCACAGGAGGCCATATCAACAACAAGGGTAATAGCCACTGATTCCCATGACTTACATGAATTGGTCCAATCCTTTTCTGAAGCCACCCAAGCTGGTAGTCAGCACCCACTTCTGATTTTCTTGCTTCACTGGGTTACAAGCTTTCTCCTGTGTCATATATAATATTTTGCAAATAGGTCATGGCTTAGCATGGAGATGGTGTGCTAAATACCTCACTTGTCCTTCAACCTGCCTGTTTATCTATTATGAACTGTTTACTTGCACTGGATTACTTTCTAAAGCAATTAAGAAATGCAAAATGTCCAGGAGATATACTTCACAACAAACTAATTGAATCAAAATGTACATGAAAGAGCCAAAAATAAATAACAATTCTCTTTTCCAGTGGAGAAAAAGAAGATGAGTCCAGAATGTTGTTCATAACCTCTAAGTTATCACTCTAAAAATCCTCCTTAGAGTGATAATCACGCAATAACTAACAAGCATTTACTTAAAGAATTTAAATGGGACCTGAAATTGAGATGGAAATTATCTTTTATTTTATTTATTAATTAATTTTGTTTGCCGCCTATCTTGCCACAAGTTTTAGTTCAACAAAAGAAGATTTAGCAAGGGTGCCTGAAAAACTTAATAAAAGTTTAAAGATTTATGAAACAGGTCTTTGGGGGAAATATGGCAAATCAAAACTGGCAAAGCAAAGTCAATAACTGTAGCAAAGATCAAGGAACCTGTAGGTAGACTAGTTCCTTGGAACCTCTCTGGATGAGGAGAAGATGGAAGACTGCCCACATGTGCTCCAGACAGCTTCTCCTTGCAAGAGACCACAGGACAACAGTTTTCTGTGGATCTGAGCACCAAAAGACAAGATTAACTCACTATTAAGTTTGCAAACAATCCTCCCCCATCCCATTCTTTCAGCTCATTAACTACTTCTAAGCTTTTAAAGACATTTGGAATAAAAAGCTTGAAAATGTTGGGTGAGTTAAGAATGTAAAGAACCAGCAAAAAGCTAGATAAAATTTGATTTTAAAAAGTTATACATACAAGTCCAAATAAAATTGGAATATTACAACTTTTGCAATAGAATTTTGGAATTCTAAAGGACAAACAGTTTCTTGTGGGAAATAGATTCTATTTTGACTTTTGCAAGATAAGCAATTTCATGATTTCAAAATCTGGACACTAGAGGGGACTAAAGTTTTTAGACAGAGGAAAGATTTACAAGTCTGTAGTATGTTAAAAAACGAAAATTAGAATATTTCGGACATGTGACGCGACACCCAGAAAAATACGGCATACTCCATTTAATCCTCCAGGGAAAGATTGAAGGCAAACCAGGTCCAGGAAGAAGAAGAAGATCGTGGCTTCAAAATCTAAGGGACTGGTTTGAACAAACTCAGCAGCACTTTTTCGTGCGGCTGCTGATAAAAACAAGATCGCCAACATGATCGCCAACGGATATGGCACAAGAAGAAAAAGAAGTATGTTGCAAACTGTTATAAACAATAAAAATGCTGAAAGAGACTTTTGAAAATAGGAATCAAGACATAGTAGCCACAATAGCAACAATGTCTACTTCTGTGGATAAACTATATTGGGGTGTCAAACTCGCAACGTCACATGACATGATGTAGCATGACTTTTTTTTCCCATTGCCGGCAATCGGGTGGGTGTGGTTTCGGCATGACGCATCCAGCCCGCAGGCCGGCAGTTTGACACCCCTGAACTATATCCAAAAGTTGTTATTGAAAAAATGACAGCTATAGAACAGATTTTAGCTGAAAAAACAGTGATGGTATTGAAAGTAGATTTACCGGTGACAGGCCAAGAGAACAACTTAAAAAGGTCACTGATCAACAAAAGAAACCGGCTGAGGTTTTACAATTTAA